GTACAGCTGGGAGCACGTGGCGAAGGTTTCCAAGGGTGCCAGGGCTGAACCGAGCCGGAAAGATGCCATTTGCTACTGAAAATGTGTCTCCAGTGTGACATCCCGGTGGCCTCTGACAATGTTTGCCCAGCTTTGAGCAAATAGCAGGGATGTCTCGGTGAAGCTCCTTGTCCAGTGTTTGCATGCAGGGCTCACGCTTCCCCGTCGGACACCTCCGGCACGGCACAGCCGCCTCCCAGGAGTACGAGAGCTCCGCCATCATTCTGGTTAAGTCGTTTCCTCGGGTGTCAAAGCCTCTCTTTGTGCTGAGATCTGCTGCTTTCCATGTTGCCTCTTTTAGTTGGAACCTTTTTTTGAAGTTGCAAAGTGGAACTTTTTTTTCGCCCCCCAGGTATTTTTTTCCCTCCTCCATCATTATTTAAAAAAAACCCAGAAACTCCTGAATAAGCTGCTCCTTGAAATATCAGCGTGAACCCTGGCCTTTGTGTAAAACCCAGGAAAATGTTGAGCCAGAAACTGATTTAAAACAAAATAAATAAATCTTCCCTCCTTCCCCGAAGGTAGCAGCAAGCGGAGGAATGATCTGCTGCTGAAAACTTCCATTACGGCAGGGCTGCTTCCACCAACTGCTGCAACATCTCACTCAGGCTCTGCTTTCCAGACCTCAGTCTTTATCCAGGTCCTTTCAAACATAATCGTCTTTGTCTCAAAAATACCACTTTTAACTGAAACAACGTGGAGAGAGGCACCCGAAAATTGAAGGGGGAGGTTCCGACGCCGGCTTTCCCAACGGCTGCGAGTGCAGAGATCCCCTCTAGCTCCGTGCTGTTTCTGCGGGACGCTGGGGTCACTTTATGTGCTTTCAATGAGCATAAAAGGAGATAACGTTGCAGGATAGAAATCACTGGTCTCTAAGAAATACCCAGATTTCGGCTGGGGACGTCCCGGGGCTGCTGCAGGGGGTGGCAGATGGAGGAAGGTGGGTCGCTGGGTTCTTGCAGCAGCGGCAGGGACGATGCTCGTGTGTCCTCCCGTCTCATCTCGCACCTCTCTGCTCTTTAGAGATGCACGGACAGTTGCAGCCTGAGACAATTCATCTCAGTATCCATCACAGGAAGGTTTTAAATCCAATAAACCTGTTGGGTTTTTTTTTCTCCCCTTTGCTCCTCCCAGCAGCTATGTTAAAGTGATTCCTTTCTCATCCTTTGCATCCCATCCACCCCTCTTTTGCAGAAGCACACCCCTGCTCTCTCTTGCATATGGAAACTATTTGTTTCTTTGGAGAAAAAAAATAAATAAAAAGACAAAAATGATTTTTCCCTTCTGCTGCAAGCACGCAGGCTGACTGGGGGACCTGCTCAGGTTTTACTGCTTGTTTTCCACATTGCCTTGCCCAGCTGCACGTGGACTTTCTCAGCGCTGCTCAAATACATCAACAGGTGCATTTGTTGAAATAAATGCGAGCTTGATTTTAAGTGGATTACTTGCCTGCCTGTTTGTCATCACACAAAAAGTTGTCACTGATGGGGATTAGCATAAAGTGCACAAATAACTTTTCACCAAGAGGCTTGTTAATCGCTTCCTCTTCCCCCTCCCTGCTCACTAGGGGCTGTTGGGTCATTGGGCCAAAATTAAAAGGGAGCTGTCAGGCTGCCGAGGGGTTTAATGTCGGAAGCTTGGCTAACAAAAGACTGTGGAGACATCAGCCAGCAGGTTTGTGGCTGAAAATGGGAAATCTTTCTCATCGCCCTATGCCGGAGGCCAGCCGTACGGAAATTGCTTCCCAGCTTACGGGCTTTGAGCTTCCTACGGAGAGTAGCCCAAGGCACGGCTCTCGGACAGTGGGCAGATGTCCCTGTGACAATGGCAGGCAGCGGCTGGGTGTTTGGCCCCATGAGAAGCTTCCCTAGCAGCATCCAGCACGGCTGATGGATGTGCAACAAGGCTCAGCTTCAGTGCAAAGCCGGCTGCTGTCTCCCTGGGGTGGTTTCTCACCTGTGTGATGCAAAGAAAGCTTTTGGTGCGTGATGAGAGAGTTAGAGCAAATCAAACAATATGGGGCTGGACCTGTGCCATGGCCCAGGACCCATCCCAGCACCAGAACGGGCTCCTGGAGCTTTGGTGACTGTCTCTGCAGCGTGGGGCTGGCACCTGGACCTGCCCCGGGAGCCTGGCTGAGGGTGGCCTTGGGGGGACAGCTCAAGGGCAAACACACTAATTCGCAGCAGGGCTTGCTCAACCTTGTGAGCTTCTCTCCTGATTCCGGCTGGGACAGGGTTAACTTTCTCCCCAGCAGCTGGTGTGAGGCTGTGTTGGGGTTTGTGCTGAGGAGAAGCTGATCACACACTGGTGGGCAGAGCTGCCGCAGGACTTTCCAGCTTCTCTGCTGTGCCCGTGTCTGCAGGGGCAGGAGGAGCTGGGAGGGAGCACAGCCCCAGTGACCAGCCCAGGATGCGACCTCAGGGTTAGGACTGAGACCAAACTGGCCAGTGGTCTGTTCCATCCCATGCCCGGCGTGGCCAGGATATGGGTGAGGGTCTCTTCAGAATCTCGGTCTTTCCAGGTCATCTCTCTCCAGGTGGTCCCTCTCCCAGGGTCGTCTCCCTCCATGGGTCAGTTCTCGGCCTCGTGGACACTCGGGCTGTTATCTTTTTCTGGGATTGTGGTTTCAGGACTCCCCCTGCTCTGGGGTTGTTAGCCGGGAACGGGCTGAGCCTTGGTCATCAGGTGGTGAGCAGTGTCACTGTGTGTCTCTCATTTGTATATTTGTATATATTATTATAATCATTATTATTATTTTCACTATTATTGCAGTTTAGTTACTAAATTGTTCTTATCTCAACTCATGAGTCCTTTTACCTTTCACCCCTTTAATTCTCTCCCCCATCCCTGGGAGGGGGGAGGGTGAGTGAGCGGCTGGTTGGCATTTGGCTCCCAGCCAAGGTCAAACCATCACAGCTTTTCATTTAGCAGCTTTGGTTGAACGTGTCATCCATCTGCAAGGCTTCGAATGCGCCGGGATTCTTCCCTTTGGTTCTTATTTCCTGGTCAAATCACCGCGTCTCGCCTGGGAGGGCTGTGGTGCAGCGAGCGGGGATTGTGCATTCCTTGGGGAGGCTCCTGCCTTGAATTCAGGAAGAGGGTTACATTAGGGCAGGCTGAATTAAAAGCTTCATAACTAGGTCTACATAATACATAGCCGGGTCCCTGGGTCCTGGCGAGCAGAGGGCAGCGTTGTGAGCGCACTGGGCAGAGTGCCTGCTGCTCTGGGACCTGCCCACGTGGGCTTTGAGCAGAGACATTGCAGGGTGGCTTTGTCCACCCTACTTCTCCATGTCGTGAGTGTTGTGACCCAAAAGGGAGTTGTTTAGGACGACCTCCCTCCCCTTGGGACCAACGACCAAGTTCGTGATACCCTTGGACTGAATGACGGTGCAACGCCAGCCAACCAATTTTATGATTGATTAATCCAAAATATGAAACATGATAAGATACAACAACTCGCACATGGTGAGATATTCCAACTCAATGGCAACAGCTTCAACTGAACAATTCCAATGGATAAACAAGTCCCATGCTGCCCTCCTCTACTTAGATCCAGTTGGTAAAAAAGAGAGGAGGGAGTGGGAAGACATAAAGATTTAAAAAAAAAAAAAGAAGATATCACCACTGTGGTTCTGCAGTGTCCTGTTGATCCTCTTCACTCGGGGTGTCTCAGTGGTGGGGTCCCACCCCCAGCTCCTGATGGAACCATTTTTATCCAGCCCAAGTCCCAAAGTTTTTGCCCAGTTCCAAGAAACTTCCTCCATACGCGTGGTGGGTGTGATGCTGGGTGAGGGTCGGTGTGCCCTGACTCTGCGCAATCTCGGTGAATCCCGGGCAGATGCAGGGGGCTTATTTTAGGGGGTTGCACCAGACAAGACCCTCCCCAAGCCCCTGCACCCGCAGACCCCGAGCTGCCAGACCAGCAGCGATCTGCCACCCGCAGGGCGTTAGCGCTGGATTGACGGTGTGTCGGGGCAGCGCGAGCTCCAGTGTCTGGGCACCAACAGCCTGGCCCTCGTCTTTGCTGTGACGTGCTGCTGGTGTCGGCTCTCGCAGTTATTAAGAAGGATCGAGGGAAGCAGCCGGGAGCTCCGGCGGGTGGTGTGTGCTCACACAGAGAAATGATGCTGCTGATCAAACTAGCAGGGGAAGGTCAGGCTCGATTTCCAGTCCAAGGGACTGAAAAAGAGTTTGACTGCACCTTGAACTTGAGCAAACATCTTCCAGGCAAAGAGAAACCCTTTGGAGAGGGAGGTGGCAGGGCAGGGGGGATCCTGCGGCACCCCGGGGCTGTTTGATTTCTGCAGCTGGGCTGCAGCGCTGGGGACAGCCCGGGGGTGATCGGGGTGTTGATGGGGAAAGACGAACCTAACGCACGCTTCAACCGCCGTGTCCACCCTTTTGGCTCCTCACCCTTCCTTGCCCAGCCTCTGCTGTGTGTCATCTTGCCACCGTGACGCTTGTCTTCATGGGGGAGGTACTTGTCCATGGAGAAAAAGTTCCGTTTGTGATTTCCTGAAGCTCAGCACAACCACACAGCGAGCTCCACGTGTCACGGGCCATCGACCCTGCTCACCCACGTCATCCGTAGGACAGTGATCAAAGTCAGGAAGAAGAATTTGTTTTAAAATGGGAAACAATGGATTAGTTTTGCTTCAGAGGAATGGATTTCAATTCTGGAAACTGGGATTTGAAGAACGAGGTTCAGTAGTTCTGAGGGTAGCGAAAGAAATCTGAAATGCTTCAGAGGAGCTGAAGCAGTTGAAAAGATTCAGGCAGGGATCAGTGATTCCCAGTTTGGGGATGGGAAATGATGCTGCTGAGCTTGGTGTGAGCTCGGTGCCAGGATCGGAGGTGGGAAATTGCTGCGGCACGGTAGCTCTGCAGTTCTTGAGCTGAACCTTTAATTCTCCTCGTTATTGATTCTCTTTTTCTTTCTTTTTTTTCTCCTTCAGCATGAAAGACTTTCCAGGTAAGAGTTTTATTTTTTGGAGGTTTTTCTATTTAATATTTATTGACAAGATAGTTTTGTATGGCTTTGGGGTTTCCCTGTGCTTCACATCAACAACATCAGCAGAAGCTGCTACTGGCCGTTGGGTTCTTACCCAACCGTTGGGCCAGTTTGCCTTCATCCTTTGCTCCCCAAATTATTTAACAGCTACTCTGCAGAGAAAAAAACCCCTCTGTGCCCTCTTAGAAATGGACCCTGTTCCCACTGTGAAGGTGAGAGGTCCGTGGGAAACTACTGCCCGTCTGGGGTTTGGGCTGAGACCCACTGGATTTTTTCCAGTTTAAAACCAGTAGTGGCTGCCTGGCCCCCAGCAGCGATGCCCTGTGGCGGGGTGGAGGGTGCCCGCAGCCATCCCAGCACCTGCGTCTGCCGTGGCCTCGAGTCCCAGCTGCTCAGGCTCATCCTGGCTGTCCCAAAATCCCAGCGGCTCCACGGTGCTGGATCTTCGTTGTGTTTTAGGTTGGAAGCAGCTACGAACCCTCCCGCCAGCGACTCCTCCTACAGTGATCGCGCCGCCAGCCGCTCCAGTGCCTACGCCCGCAGGGAGAACCGGTTAACTGCCCTCAGCAGCCGAGCGGAAGAGGAGAGTAACAGGGACTATAAAAAAGTAGGAATTTAAAAAAAAATTTATTATTGTCACTGCAGGTACCTTAGAAGCTGCCTGTTGCTGCAGAAACCTGCATTGAGAGTCTTGGGAAAGAAAGAGAAAAAGTTTATTTTCATTTTCTCCCTTTCCATTGCTTTTGGAAGTCACACCAGCCTTTTCCAAATGTGTCAGCCCTTCAGAGGGTCAAAAAAGGTCAAGGGGTGAAAGGTGCAAAGTCAGATATCTTGGGGCGGGAGACCGGGGGGTCAGGCGGGAGAAATGCTGGGAGGGATTTGAAAAGAGCAAGAAAAGATACTATTGAGCGTGCCAGCGTGGCTCAAGCATGCCTGTCCCCACAGAATTATCTCTGCTGCTGTAACATTCCCCAATTATTTTTTCTGTTATCTCTGAAACTTTCAATATAATCCTGGAAAGGCAGTGATAGGGACTGCCATGCACGTCTATCAGTGCAAAGGCCGTATGAAAAAGAAGCAGGTGAAGGTGCCCTTAGTTCTGAGCTATGCTGATGGAACGCCGTGCGTGGGAAGCAGCACCCCACTCTTCCTCGTGTCTGGCCAGAAGAGACAGGCAGCATCCCCAGCGTGTCCTCTTCGAGGGATGGAAATTCTGCTTGTTTTTAAGGAAGTGAAGGGAAAAAATCCATTTTGGAGGGGCCTAAAATTGTCCTCCTTTCTCCTCCTCTTCAGACTAAAAGCAGACAGGAGCAAGCAGGGTGTGTTGTGTTGGGGAGCACAACAGCATCAGGGGTTCAGATACACCCAGCATCCGTAATTTTATTATGCTTGGTGGGTTACCTAAATTAAAAACTTCCCTTTTCTTTGCCTCTTGGCTGTGTTTAAACACCCTACAGATTTAAACAGCTGGTTAGTTATTTCATATGAATTATAAAAGCACAAGTAAAGCATCCGAACTAGTTCTGTTTGCTCTTCTTTTAATATCCTGCCATGGGGGAGCGAAGCAAACCCCGCGGCTGCCTCTGCTCAGCGCCGAGGACGCGCATCCGCTCGGAGCAGCACGGCAGCAGAAGAGCAGCCCGGTGAATGGAAATCTTTTGTTTCCTGTCTCAGCTGTATGAAAGCGCCCTGTCTGAAAATCAGAAGCTGAAGTCAAAACTGCAAGAAGCCCAGCTTGAGTTGGCCGACATCAAATCCAAGTTGGAAAAAGCAGCCCAGGTAAGGCAAAAACCAGCTCCTAGGCAGGAGAAACTGAGCACCGGCCCATGACAAACCAGTGCCTGGGAAAGGATTTAGCTCTTGGGAGGGAAGGTGCTACAGAGGAGATGGGTTTTTTTCACAGAAATTAGTGTGAGTGATTCTGTAAAGACTGCTTCTTCTCCGAGCAAGTGCATCTGTAGGCTGTCCAGGGCTTTGTACAGCGTCCTGTGAATGCCTCTGGGGTTTAATAGCTTTCTATTTTTAATTTGCACAGCAGAAACAGGAGAAAACTTCTGACCGGTCCAGCATGCTGGAGATGGAGAAAAGGGTACGTGTCTCTGCTTTCTTCTGAGTCGCGGTCTTTGATTGCTCTGCAGGGCAGAGTAATTTCTTGAAGGAACGTGTTAATTAAAAGATAAGTTATATTTATGCCTTGTGGAGCACTTCACAGTGATAATTGTGTTCTGACCTTTCCAGTGCCCGAGACCTCCCTGCTCGCTTTGCGGATCAGCTTAGTTCCGATTTCTTTCTCTTGCTATAGGAAGCTGCGGACCAACAAATTGTGTTGTCTTCTGCTAAGAGACTGTTGGTCCATCACGCTTTAAAATATTCTTGATCCTTAGAAATAAAAACTCTTTTGGGGTGGTGGGAGGAACACAGCAAAACACGAGCTGGGTGTCTGTCTTGTGATGGTACTTGACACGGGAATGTTCGAATGCCCTTTCCTCTGAACCGAGCACGGAGTCGCTGCGGTAAGCTCAGATGAACGGGCAGCGTCTGGTTAAATCTCTGCCCCAAGTGACCGTAGCTTCGGTCAGACCGGAGGGGACCCCAGGAGATCCAGCCAGCAGTCAGCCAGGTCGGTCAGGGCTTTGTCCCATCATGTCACAAAGACCTGAAGTGTTGAGTTTCCCCAGCTGCAGCCCCTTCTTCCAGTTCTTAGCTCTCCTCAGAGGGATTTATTTTTCCCTTATGTCTGGTCAGAACCTCCCCAGCTTCAGCCGATGGCCGTTACCGCTCCTCCCACTGCCTGCCTAGGTGGTTAATTAAAGCTGGAGCCTGGCTCCCGTTTCTCACTAACGGCTGCTACATGCTGGAGGGTCGCCTGAAGTGGAGGCTCCTCCTAAAGCATTTCGTCTCCTGAACTTTGCTGGATGGTTGAACCGTGTGTTTAAATCAAAGACCTTCATTATTGATGTGTGAACACTTCCCGGGATTTGCCAGATGTAGTCGGGAGGGGGTGACGCTCAGGATCCCCGCTCTGGACAGGGTTAGGCAGAGCCCAAACAGACCTTTCAAACAAACCACAGATCAGTGAACTCTGACGAGCCTGTTAGCCAGGGGTGAACAAGTAACACAACATATCCTAAATATTCAGCAAACTATAAAACAAAATCAGAATCAGGCCACTACCTCTAGAGGGATCATCACAGCCCTTTTCCCCAGTGGATGAGGTACGGATAAAGGTCCGTAAAAGAAAAAATGTTTTGTCTCCCAAATGGACAGAACCCTGTCTTGCATCACCAACCCCTTTCCCTGTCATCAGGTTGGAGGGCAGACATTCGTGGATTCATCACTCCTACATAAAAAGACGCCAGACAGCCAAAACTGGTCCTATGGCGGAAACACCTAATTCATAAAAAACACCTTCCCAAGGAGTTACTCAGGACCGATCGTCCTGGAGATCCCATTCCAGCCCTCAGCAGGGTGTGTGGCTGACCCACGGCGCAGGTGCGGGGTCTGACTGCTGCTGAGGCTGAGCGGATGCTCCGGCCGGGGCGCTGCCGTCAGAGCCCAGCTGAGCATCTCTGCACCCTGCGGTGGAGATTCCCAAAGCAATGATCCTGGGTGTGCTTGGGCTGCATGGGGTTATCACACCCGCAACCAGCACTGCCCGCTGAACAGAGCTGCTGGGGGAAGTCAGGACATGGGTGCAGCTTTTCTTTTAGAAAGTGTGGGGCAGCCAGAGCCCTCACCCTGAGCAGACATCCCCGACCAGAGGGAGCTCGCACCGTGTGCCCCACCTCCCACCCACGCCGTGCTGCTAAGGTGGGGCAGTGCCCTGCATCACTTTCCTTGAATTAGGATCACGACAGCCACAAGTACTGGTTTCTGAGGGTCAGAGAGAAAAAAAAGGTCCCGACTGTTCTCTGTGCAGATGGCATTAGCTGTTCCAGGACAGTTTACGCATTTTGCACGGATGAATCCCTGGATGAAGTGTGCTGCGGACAAAAAGTGACCCAGCACCCGTCATCCGCGGCCACGCTCAAAAGGTGTGTTTTTCTCCCTCTCTTGGCCTCGTGTTTCTTTGCAGAGGTCAAAGGAGCAGAGGAGAGAGTGCAAAGCCTGTTCCCAGCCCACATTTGCCATTTCCTCCTGCTCAGAGCACATCCCCGGGGGCGGTTTGAGCCCTCTTGTGTTGAAAAAGTCCCTGATGGAGCCCAGGTCCCTCCCTCTGGGCTCAAGCTGTCCACCACCAGTCCTCCCGTGGCAGAGCCCACCTGGGTCATTCTCAGGTTCCAAACCATACTGACAGCGGTCAGCGTTACAGCTTCGAAGCCCTAAATTAATCTGGCAGAAGCAGGATTTCCAGGCATCTTTCCCTGTTTGCTGTTTTGTATTTGACGGGCGCGGTGAATTTTCCCGTTGCCTTCTTTGGTGGGGTGCAGTTAAATCCATGGCTGCACCTGCAGAGCTCAAAATCCCATTCCATCGGCAAGTCCTGAACACTGGGATCACAAAAGGCGGTGGGATGGTTTCACTGAAGGGGTGTGAGGATCGCTCAGGACCAGGGCTGACTCCTGGTTGTAACCTGTGTGTTGCTTTGGGATGCTTTTCCATGAATGCTCCTACAGACATACAAGACTCTTATTTTTCTCTAAAATAAAAAGTACTGTAAGTTTTTCTTCTAAATCCTTGTGACCATCTTTCTTTTCAATCCCTGTAAACAGGAGAAGCGAGCCCTGGAGCGGAAACTCTCTGAAATGGAAGAGGAGATGAAGGTAGGAAATCATTTATTCACTCTGCCTGTTCTGGGGTTTATGTTTTGTATTAATATCTTTGGGGACCGTCACCCAGGAGTAGGATAGTGACGGTGTACAAGAGAAGGGACTGGTGTTCCCTCTGAGTGTGTTCCTTTGTGCAGCCAGAACTTACTTCAATGGTCATGTTCTCCAAACATGAAATACTGAGAAACTGTCCTATGACCATTCCTCTGATTACACCCTACGTTTCATGTGTTATGCTGTTTGATCCGAGAACTGTGAAAGCTGTTCTCCGTAAACGCTTTCCAAAACTAACCTGTTGTGGCATCGATGAGTTTCAGTGTGCTGATCCCCTGTGCTCTGAGTAGTCCGCGCCCAAGTTAAGCCGTTGTCCTTCTCTCCAGATGGGTAAGAAGACAAAGCTGTCTTTTCAGCTCACGCACGCTAGCCAGGAGAAAACACCGCGCGGTTGGTTGTACCTCTGTCTCCCTTCCCAAAGCATGTTACTGGAAGCTGTGGCAGTAAGTCAGGCTGGAACAGATTTCAGCAGCGAGGAGTTTGCTTCGTGATGAAAAGCACAGCATGGCTCACTGTCACGAGACATCCGCCACGACCGCTCCTCCGCGTTCTCCTCTCGCGGCGCTGCTCCGAAGGACGGTTCCCTCCTGCCCTGGCTGGATGCCGGGCGTGCGCGGGGCCGGCGGGAGCACTGCGGAGCAGGCAGTGTGGTTTGCCACCTGAGTACACCTAAAACTTCACGCCGATTTTGCAGCGTTCCATCATTTGAGGCTGTATTTTACCGCTTGCATTCACAGAATGCCCCCCTTTGCTCTGCGCTTTCGCTCCTTCCGAGCCTGACCCAGGTGGGACCGAGCTGCTTGCAGAAGGACGGACTCCATCCGAGAGCCGTGAGCTCTCCCAGCGTGGCGCGCTGATGGAAACAGCTCCTGCTGCCCTGGAGGAGGCTCCAACTTCATGTTTCTAGTTGAAGCTTCACATATTTCCCCAGCGGACGTCTTTGGAAGGACCCGTTGGTTGTGCTGCATCCTCTGCTGCAGTAAACAGCAGAACAAATTGGCGGAGTCTTGCTGTACAAGCTCTCTTGTTCTTTTGCAGAGCAGAAAATAATTGTGGATGTCCTAGCCAAAGGGGAAGAAGGACTGAATATGCCTAAATTCCAAATCCTTTGTTCACTGAACAGGTAGCGACCTTTAACTCCAGAGGGACCTCCCTGTAATTACCGAAATACGGCATCCAAGGGAAAATGCAGACAGCAGCAGCTTGGGCTGTTTCTGCAGCTCTGCGGATCACTCCGCAAACCGGCTCGGGCCGTGAGGCAAAAAGACAAATTGGTGTCCTCTAGTGGCCTGTTGGCTTTGAAACATTTACATTGGTTTGGAAAGCAATTAATGAAAGATGGGGCCTGTAGGAACTGCTGGATGCAAGCAAAGCACCTCTGGTTCGGGTAGTCTGGAGCTGCAGACGGGTGGAAGCCAAGGTGGTGCAAGAGGAGAAGCCCTGCCAGAAGGTGGATGTGCTCTTGTCCTGCTGGTCCCTGCTGGAGACGTGAGCTAAAGGAGCCTGTGGTCTAACTGGAAATGAGCTATCAGGTCTTTGAGAGTGGTTCTTACTCTTTGCTCTCTGCTGTGTTCTTGCTGCATTGAACAACCCAAGCGGCCTTTTGTTTGTAGGATAAATCGATGGGAAATTTAAAAATATCTCTTCTAAGGTGCTACTACATTTCCAGTAGTTTTTGCAAAAAGGTGAGCGTGTGGTGAGTACCTGAGTGCGCTGTGACGTGTCTTTTCTGACAGCCACTCAGTAAAAAGGAGTATAGGATCTCTGCAGAGAAAAACATTGAACTGGGTGAGTCCATAAGGACAGCAGATGTTTGTGTCCACTGTCATCGTGCCTTGAAGCAGGAGAGTCACCCGGCTGTGTTTGCCTGGAACGAGATAACCTCTGCAGAGCATCCGTGTTCATCCCTAGTATGGAAGTTGAAGCAGGAAAAGAGATCTATTAATTCTGGTCAGATTTTCATTCCTGTTTCTTGTGCTAGCTGAGCAGCTGTCAAGCAGAATCAGAAGGAATAAGTGATTTAAGCAAATCCACCAGTTTTCTTTCAGGTGGAGAGCAGCAAGGGGAGACAAGCCAGCACGGCAGGTGGTTCTCACCTTCCCCCTCCCGGGGATGGGGGAGAGAATTAAAGGGGTGAAGGGAAAAGAAGCTCAGGGATTGAGATTAGAGCAATTTAATAACTAAAGTACAATAAAATTGAAAATATTCATAGTGAGGATAATAATAGTAATACATACAAATATATAAATGAGTGACACACAGTGACACTGCTCACCACCCCATGACCAAGGCTCAGCCCGTTCCCAGACAACGATCCCAGAGCAGGGAGAGTCCCGAAACCGCACTCCTGGAATGGAGATAAGAGCCTGAGCATCCCAGACTGAGAGCTGACCGAGGGAGGGAGATGACCCCTTGGAGATGACCCTGGGAGAGGGACCACCTGGAGAGAGCCGACCCATCAAAAGAGAAAACTTCTGGACAGAGCTCACCTCTCCCCTGGCCACGCCGGGCATGGGATGGAACAGACCACTGGCCAGTTTGGTCTCAGTCCTAACCCTGAGGTCGAATCCTGGGCCAGTAACTGGGGCTGTGCTCCCTCCCAGCTCCTCCTGCCCCTGCAGATACGGGCACAGCAGAGAAGCTGGAAAGTCCTTGAGTGTCCTGGCAGCAGCTCTGCCCATCGGTGTGTGATCAGCAACAAACCCCAACAGCCTCACACTGGCTGCTGGGGAGAAGGTAACCCTGTCCCAGCTGACACCAGTCCAGCAGGTGATTAGGGCTCGGGCAGCGCTGCTGGGTTTGGGATTCTTCCCACTGGTCTCTGGACTGGACCAGTCCGGCACAGCTCACCTCCAGCTTTCTGACCCTGGGGTGTCTGTGTCCTGCTCGGTGCCCCAAGTCTCCTGGCCGGGACGTTCCCCTTCTTGCAGCTGGCTGAGGAAGAGGAGGCAGAGCCGCGGTCAGGGCAGGTCCTGGGTTTCTGTGACAAACGCTTTGTACTTCAGGCTGTGCTGGAGGTCATGAGCTTTGTTCCTTTTGTGAGTCTAACCCCTGTTAACGAAGCAATCGAGAAACGGAGAGGAGTGGGATGACCTCGGTGGTCTCGGAGAGCTCCTTCGTGCCAGAGCTGTCCCGCAGCCCTGCTCTGGGGAAGGTGATGGGGCAATGCAGCATCTTCCCGAGCGGCTGCAGAATTTGAACGGAGATACAGCAACTTGGCTGGGGGAGAAGAAAGAAAATGAGCATTTGTGCTGAACTGAATTCGATGCCAAGTGCCTGAGGTCCCAACTTAACACAGCAATTTTTCTTGAAGGTCACAGAAGCTTCTTTATTCCGTAGCAGCGCTGCACCTCCTGGCTTTGTACATTCTGCGTGCTTTGGGCATTTTTATTTCCCCCAGTGTTGCAGGCTCAGAATCCTTTAATTGAAGGCAGGTACAGCTGAACTGAGAAACCTGCTTTCGGTGAGCCAGGTATCAAGCAGAGTGATAAGCAAGTGCAGCGGTATCGTCCAGATCCTGGTCGTCGCCCTTGGCTTCAGTCCCAGTTTCCTGGCCTTCGCTGGGTTTCTCGGCTGAAGAGAAGCCTGTCCTACCTGCAGCACACACAGGTTTTTACATAAGTGATCCTTTTATCGTCTGCGGCAGCGTGCTGAGGCTGCACTGCACCTGATAGCACCATGCTGGGGTTGCATGCTGTACTGGTGTGGAAAGTGAAGGTGGTCTGTGAAAGGGCACAGCCCTTTCCGTCTCGCGTAGCACGGCACCCCGCTTTACGTGTGCTTGGTGTTTCCCTGTGATAAAACAGGACGGTTATGATCCACAATCCCATCACAAGAAATGACCCTTCCAGTCTGACCCATCCTCTGGCGGCTCCTGGGTGGGATTTATGTGCTGTCCGTCCGTGCCCTCGCAGTGCCGGGGAGCGGGCGCAGCGCAGGTGGGTGCAGCGGTGGATGGATGGATGGATGGACGGATGAATGGATGGATGGATGGATGGATGGCCAAGGTTTGCCAAGAGGGGATCTCGCTGCCAGGCGCCCCTGGAGCTCTCCTGCGGTCTGTTGGCTCTAGCTCTGTTTTGGGACCTGGTGATTTCTCTGGTGTCAAAATTGCGCTGATGTAGTCCAAGCAGCAGGAGCTGCTTTGTCCGTTTGATGACCTCGGGGGGCTCCTACCCCATCCTCTGCCAGCTCCCTGCACCCCCCTGCCTTCTGTCGGGTTTGCCAGGACGAGGTATCTCGATTCCTTAACGGGGAGCAGAGGTGGTGCTTTGGGGTCGCTAGGATTGGGCTGATGGGTGTGGGCTACATGAAATACTTCTGGTTTATACAGGAATGTTTATACAAAACGTCCTGGGATGCGGCAGGTTCCTGGCTGACTGCGTCCAGCTCCACCTCGTGCAGGTTGGGTGGAAGTTGGTGCAAGTTCTCCGTGTTGTGGTAGATTTGTCCGTGACCTTTCTGGTTAAGGACAGACAGCGACCTCCCATTGAGCGCTTTCTGCTGAGTCAATGGCAGAAAGGAATCCCCCTCCCCAGCAGACCCTTCCCTCCGTCCCCTCCCTGCTGTCACAAGCGCACGAGTAGGACGGCGATGGTTTGCAGGCAGGACAGAAGCTGCTTTGGTTCCAGGCTGGGATTTTTTCACTTGAACTGAAAACTGCTCTTCTTGCAGATGTTTCCCCTCCTGCCTTCCCCCTGCCCAGTGTCTGTGCTCCCTCCTCCGTGGTGGAGGGTTCCTGGTCCCCATGGCCCCACTGCCTGACGAGCTGCTGGAGGGACAAGGGACAAGATGCTGCTCAGAAAGCAGCTCCACAGCTTGGTACAAATGCCCAGCACACGGTTCTGTTTTAGTGTCACCGGGAAGAACATGGTCCTTGTAGAACTGGTGGTGTCTGCATGGCTTTTGCCATTTTCCTGGTTTGCTTTTCTCGTTGGTTG